CACACTGGTGGAAGAGCTCTGACTCATTTATCAGACAATATTAGGAATACTGATTTCAAGGGAGTCCTGCAGCGAGGAAGGGCTTCTCAGCAGGCTTATGCTAGAGCCTAAGCAACCATGTCACTTAAGCCATATCATCTAGCAGGACATATAGCAGTAGAGATATAGAGATATTAAATAATGCTATGGAAACTCTGATAAATTTTCATAGAAGCGTCACAGCACAAATCCTTAGGATTTTGAAGCAAGGCCATGCCATGATTTGACAGTCAAAAGTCAGGAATGGAGGCTAGGAATGACTGTAGCTGCATTGATTTGTAGCTAACAAAGTAATGATCACCTACAGTGGTTCTCCTCCTAATCTCTAGAATCTGTAAATACATATTCTCACATGTCAATGGCATGCTACAATATGAGGATATTAAGGAAGAAGAAGTGATGATAGCAGGGGGAACGGAGACAGACAGACAGACAGACAGAGAGGGAAAGTTATAGATACTGACTTGAAGACGAAAGAAGAGGCCATGAGTCAAGGAATATAGGTTTTTAGAAACTATAAAGGAAATAGATCCACCTTTAGAGACTCTAGGCTTGTTGACACTTTAATTTTAGGTAAAATTTCTGCCTTGATAGTGCCCTAGCATTTCTTTCCCACATCCCATTGCTCACATGTTAGTAACAAAAAAAAGTCAAACAAGGGTGGGAGTGAGGGAGGAGAACAAGTTGTGATTCAAAATGTCTTTCACGTCAACAACGGACAATTGCAGCCAAAGTATTCCATGTATACATGTGCAAGTGGAGCCAGGTAACTTGAGGGGAGAAGGGGGTTGGGGAGATGGGTGAGATCAATGGAAGGGGTGACTCTGATAAAGCTGCCTTGTGCTTATCAATGAACATATCGCATTTAAACCCCTTTGCACAACTACACAAAAGGTCATTTAAAAATGTCTTTTCACGTATACATATTTTTAAAACTTTTATTATTAGTTTTTATTACACAAGTAATACATGTTTGTGGTAGAAAAATTAGAAAACACAGAAAAGCAAAAGGAAAAATAATCACCCATAATCCCACTACCCATAGATAAGTGCTATTAACATTGTAGTGTACGTCCTTCTAGCTTTCTTATGCATATATACATACATAGATATATTTATATATAGTTTTCTTTTTTTACAAATATTGTGTAATACTATATATATATACTGTTTTGTAACATATTTTTCATTTAATATATATTGTGAACATCAGTGTTCATTCCCTGAAAAATTATACAGATACAACATGCTTATTGTGGAAAAATCAGAAATTACAGATATGCACAAGAAAATATAATGGCTCCAAATCTCACCTCCCAGAGATAAATGCTGTTATTCTCTTGGCAAATATCTTTTCAGACTTGTTAATGCACATATGTGTATGTTTTGATAAAAGGGATCAAATTCTAGACATCCTTCTAAAACTTGCTTTTCTCCACTTTATAATATAGCTTGGACATGTAAATAAATACACATGGATTGAAGCACAGTATTCCATTAAAAGATAATATCACATTTAACCATATAATATCGATTTAGTTACAAAACATCCTTTCTTGTGTATTTTTTAATATAATGGATTACTGTTTTGTATCTCACTTTTTTGAACCTTTTAGAGGAGAATTTGCCTAATTGGAATTACAGGACATGAAGGAAGACATATTGCCAAAGTATTTTTCATAAAGGTTGAATTAATTTACACTCTTGTTGACTTTATTTCTATATGCACTTTTTGCTCTAGGAACTATGATTTGTTAATACTCTCTGCCCTTTGGAGATATAAAAAAGAAGTGTATGGAATTTGCATCTTGATTACTAGTATATTCAAATACTTTCCTACTTATTATCACTGCTACTTTTGTCCTTAGACAATTTTTCTACTAGAAAGTTGGATTTCTTTTTGAGCCACATACTAGCATTTGTACCAGTCATTCACTAATTACTGAATCAATAAATAAGTTTCCAATATTTACTTTGTATTTAGAACTGTGAAGAGTCGAGAAAACAGCATTTAGCAAAATAGATGCATAAGATTAAGAATTAAGCAATAATTCTTGGTGTATATTAGAGATCAAGACTTTTGGTAACATGTATGACAAATATTGTTTTTTCTTAATGTGGGATTTTTTTTTGTATACAAGGTTTGCATCTTTAATTTGTCTAATCAACATTTCTTTTCTTCATATTATTCTTATCCTTTGGTATTATGCTTAAAAAGTCTTCATTTTTCCAAAATAAAATGACATATGTTTATATTGGCTGCTAATCTTCTTTTATGATTATTTATATACTTTTACATACACATTTTAATATTCACCTAAAATATATTTTAATGAAATTTATGAGGTACAGATTAATAGTTCTCTCATTGAATGGCTAATCAGGCATTCTAATGTAACAAGTATAATAATCTAACCATTTCTCATATTTTCAGTTTTGTCTTTATAATGTATTCAATTCTAGTCTTGGGTCAATAATGGATAGCATATTTAATGTTGTATTCTGTGGCAGTAGCACTGTTTTTCCTCAGCCTATCTAGTTATCTAAAAGTTATCTAAAAGTTGAGCATCTTCATTTTGTAACATTCTAGAACCACACACACAACAAAGGTAGACCCTACTCAAGCGTGTGCGTGCTCTGTGTGTGTGGGGTGTGTGATAGTTATAATGGGCAGGAGTCCGAATTGAATTCTTGCAATGTTAAGACCACCAGAGTCAGAAGTTACTGACAACATCATTGTTTACTTTATATGGTGCGTACTTATACTGTCACTCTGAAGCTGAGCTGTCACTAGGTGGCAGTATTGTCAAACTTTCTGCTTTACAACCATTTTTTACAGGTGTATGGGAGAAACAAATGGTCAGGCAGGGTTTAAAAGTCTCCCAAGAGCTTTAACTCCCTAGAGGAGGCATCCGGATTGTGCACTGCTGAAGTTTTCTTTATGCACCAGATGAATGGCACAACCAGAAGTTTGCCATGACTTTGAATCTGGATACATGCAAATCATCAGAGGACCGATTTTTAAAGTGACATTTGGCCTTGTCTACATGTATCTTATCTCAATGTGTCTGGAGCCTTTCCCCCTAACTGATTTAAAGCCCAGAAATATGGTGATTGTGACAGAATTCTGGTGAGTTTTATTTTTCACATATTTGGTGGTATATTCTAGATTTTTCCACAAACAACATATGTCCTCTGTAATGTGGGAAAAAGTCAACATGGATATTAAAAGTATGGTTGAAAAATGAGTAAATGTGTGCTACAGAAGGCTTCATCCTTTTCTGTTTCAAGTGCGTGGGGATATGTGAGAAAATGGGGGTGACGTTCTCTTCTAACCTTAATCTCAAACCCAGTTACAGCAGGAAGCCAAGACAGCAAAACTTTATCTCAAGGACTCACACCTGAGAAGGTCATTTGGAAGGTGAGAGGAGAGAGGGCCAGCTCCTAAAGATGCACGGACACATCTGAAGGGAAGAGGTTGAATTGCCTATTGCAGCCAAGAACCAATGTCGAAGTGGTTTCAGAATTGTGAGTACGAAATGTCATTTTAGGACCTATTACTGAAAGAACATCTATAAATCTTGGAGTGTGTCTCCTGGAACTATAAAACTGAGCGAAGTCTGGAAACAGGCACTGAATAAAAGATAAAGTGGCTGAATATATTACCTTCGATATGGAAAGTCTGGCTACGTAATTAAACAAGTTCCCATGTCCCTGAATAGCTACGACAGCCTTTTCAGACATGGAGGTGAGACTTGAATTTATTAACAGTCTTCAGCTGTACAAAGGACAATTGCACAAAAGGTAAATGTTACTTCCACACAGAGACTAAGCCAGAATGAGCACAAATTAGAGCAGAAGTGATTTAGGTCAGGCATTTTAAAGATCGTGCTGAACAGCAAAGTTGGGCTGCATTAGTAGCAAGGAGGTTGACGCTAAGGGTTCCATACAGTCCAAGTCTGGGAGAGAGAGGGTAGAAACAGGGGCAAAGGGTGTGCTAACTTGGGTGTTTTTGACCCTTAAATGAAATATTCTTCAGGTCAAAATGAACCAGAGCCAGGAAACAGTATGTAGTTTAATCAAGTGTGATTTTGAAAATCAAGGTTGGCAGGCCAGGTGTCTATGGGAGTGGTTACTTGTTTGTTCAAGTAGTATCCACTGCAGAGTCTTTAAGGAGAATATTCTCACAACTTTTTTTGCAGGTATTTGATATAGAAAATGATGATTTTATTATATAACTTGTCAAACATACTTCTCTTGGTGAAGCCAGGCATACCTGTAACCATGCATTAATTCTTGCTTCATTGGAACCCAACTCTGGATGACAAAAATAAGGCCAATAAGCAGCAGGTGTGATTTAAATAGAAACCTATCATTATCTTTGGAGAGCTATCTTTTTAATTTTTTCACTTTCAACACAAAAAGCTAGAAGATAATTTTAATTATATATAATTTCTACACCGTCTATTAGGTTGAACCATCATTTTGGAGGTCAAAACAGTCAAATATCAGCAATTTCATCTAATTCAACCTAACGCAATAATTATTCACTCCTTTCATCTTCCCTAAAGCTAAAGGTTGAATATAGTCGGTCTTTAGATCAATATATTTATGTACATATACATTTCTATGCAGAGATGACATTAAAGACATGTTTGGAGTAACCAGTTGTTAGTATCTAGCTCATCTTTCTATTGTACTAGACTCTGTTGCCTTCTGTCTGACTTGAAGATTTTCAGATCACGGAAAACAAGAGAAGAAGAACAAAGACTTGATCTTTTGACCCATAGGAAATTCTGTGCAGGGGATGGGTCCAGGAAGAACATGGGGAAGAAATATAATAAAATTTGTACCATGTTACAAGTTTAATAGAGGACCACAACAAAGCTGGGTGCAGAAAAAGCAAAACATGTGGCTTCCTCCTTTCTAAAATATAGTATTGCTTAATGTGTCCTGCTTCCAATATTCTAAGCATAAGACAAGACACCAAGTGCACATTGGAAAAATCACATCTGCATAGTCATCTAAAATGAGACAAGCTTAGCTTAACTAAAATTTTGTTATTATAATGTAAAATGTTAAATATTTGTACGATCTGAGATAATTCCAGCATGCCCTATAAGATTTAACACTATGCTGATGTGCAAACACCATGCTTCAAATTTCAGTTCGAACAGAAGGTGATAATATTCAATTTTACATCTGAGGGTAATTGTATATGTTACTACATCATTTCCTAACTGGATAACGTCATTCTCCAAGAAGCTGAAAAAAGACATCATTGGATCAAAAGAGAATTAGTTGCCCATATGCATTGTACGAATGGATTAGGATTATTGTGTATTTACAAAATGTAAGCATTGTTTCATATATGGTTCCTGTTGCATTATAAATTAAGATGTTTTTATGTTGAAGCTTTTAGATTCTGACAGACTGGAAGACTAAATGTAAATGAGTGCAGAGAAAGCAATGGGTGAGGTGGTACCTGTTTGATTATAATATTTCTAACGATATTCCTAGATTGAATTTTTGAAGCTTTGCAGTTTTTAAGTAGATTTCTATGTTTAAAGACATCTTTCATACATGACAGATTGCTACCATGAGATTGGCAAGAGCTATAGCTATACTATTATATGTGAAATACCTTTTCTCTGTGTAATTCATTTTAAAAACCTTCAAATCATTTAAAAATCATAATGCTTGCATCAGTCACGGCATAATTTGGAGCAGACATGCACAATGTCAGTTTTAAAAATCCTTTTAGAAACAGCCTTCTTTTGGAATTTGTTCTCCCCTCCCCCCACCCTTGATGGCGCTGCTTTCTCGTGAAGGATCATTGAGAAGGACAGGGAGAGGCAGATAAAAGGAATAAGGAAGCATAGAAAACATAGTCAAAAACCAATCACTGTATAGTTCAGCTGTCTGGAGGTCCTTGGGTTTGGTGATGTTTTTCAGGTATTCCTGGTGGTGGGTTTCCAGAAGGATCTGCCTAGCTTGAGACCAGACAGCACAGCCCGAAAAACCTTCTCTTACGTCTTCTAACCAGTGGGTAGGGAGTTAGATTCAGAAGGCTGCTGTCATCTGTGATGGGACAGAAGGTGCACATGAGTGAAACACAGATACAAAAAAAAAAAAGCAAGTGGTTATAAAAACCCAGCCTCCTTTGGATCAAGGTTTTTGCATCTTCAGCACTGTTGACATTCAGGTCTAGATAATTCTTGGTTGCACTAGGCTGTTCTGAGTACTTTGCAAGAGATGCAGCAGTATCCTTGCCCAGAGTACTATAGTGGAGACTATCTTAGACAACCAAAAATGTTTTCCGAATGTCCTCTAGAGACTGAATGTCGTCTGGAGAAGGAACAAATTCACACAAGGCTGAGAATCGCTGCTCAGAATTAACACTATTTAGAAGCAATCTTTCAGTTGGGAGAGGAATGTAGCTTATTAAAACCAGCTCATGCGTTGGATCATTTTCTAAACTTGCCTCTGCTATTTACTAGCTTGAATTGTGACTTGGAACATGGAACTGAAGTTTGCTACATTTCAATTGTCCTATCAACTTGGGTTTAATAATGACTGCAACTTGCCTTAGGTGAGGATGAAATAAAGCCATCCATGTAAAGCATTTAGCTTAGGTAGGTAATTTAGGGACACCTCGCTAACCATGAACTATTTGCCATTACATGGGATCATTTCCTTGGTTCCATCCATTTCCTTCATGTCTAAGAAAGAAGTTCCATCTATTTCCTGTCAAGTCTTCCTACAACACTTTCTGATGGGCATTGAGAAGAGATTGCTAACTGTTGAATTCATAAGTTTTGGGTTGAAACTTTTAGCATGAAGAAGAAATAAACCAGGAAGCTAAATCTTGTTTAAGTGCTCATCTGTTTAAGTGCACACCAAATTAATTTAATCCCATATACAAGTTTAATTCTTTTACAGCTCAGATTGTTTTTAATATGGAGAGAAACAGGGCTTTCCTTTCCATATGAAAAATAATTTATGATAATATAGATATTAACATTTTGAGAGCTAAAGATATCTTTCTTGCTCCTTCCTTCCTTCCTTCCTTCCTTCCTTCCTTCCTTCCTTCCTTCCTTCCTTCCTTCCTTCTTTCCTTCCTCCCTCCCTCCCTCCCTCCCTCCCATCCCTCCTCTCATGTAGGGTCTTGAACTCAGGGCCTTGTTTTTACCTAGCAGGTACTCTGCTGTTCAGTCATGCCTCCAGCCCCTCCCCTCCACCCCTCACTGGTTATATTTCAGGATGGGGTTTATGTGTTTTGGTTTGGTTTGGTTTTGCCTGGGTAAACACATACACAACAAGCCATTCTGTTTAATAATTTGTTTTAGTTCTTTAAAATTATTTTCCCTTTTTTGTTTGTTGAGATGATTGGTATGCACCACCACCTCCAGCTTCTTTCTATTGTGATAGAATCTTGTGGGCTTTTCTGCCTGGCATGGCCTGGAACAATGACTCTTCCAATTTCAGCCTCTCATGCAATTTAAGATGGTAGGCATGTGCCTGTCCTTACCACTGTGCCCAGCTATAGATTGAGAAGAGATCTTGTGAACTTTTCTGCTTACCGTAGTGTCACACTGTGATTGTCCTGTCGTCTCTCCCCCTGAGTAGCTAGGATGATAAATGTGAGACACCCGCACCCAACTGGACAGCTTTCTTTTATAATTAACTTGTCTCCAAAGAGTCAAAACAGTAAAAGCAATGTCAGATAAAATGCCTTAGCCTCAGTTTTCAAGGAGTTCTCAGAGATGAATAATGATATATTTAGAACAGAAAGGACTCATAAGGACTCTCTCATTGTTTCTAAGATTCTTACTTCTGTAACTACTAAGTGATCAATGAAGTTAACCTAATTAGATGTGTGGTAGACTCTGAAGGGTAAAAAAATTAACCTCTCAGTAGCCCTTTAGATACTGACAATACTTCTTGAAACTCAAGTTTACCTGAAATTCAATGCTTTTCTGAAACAGAGACACCAAAATGAGGAAACTGATGGAGAGAAAGATTTGATATGTCTATTTTTTCAAAACTTGGAAGATATATTTTCTAAGATATATTTTTCTTTGACCTTCCCCAAGTACTTAGTATATTTGAGGAAGGACTTAACTGGTCTTCATATTTCATAATATGGAATCCTCATGTATATTGTTCCTATTGCATGAGGAAATGTCTACTACAATATTGCATTTACAAAGGGAATAATGTGTGCATGTTGTGGACATATGTTTACTCCTCTCTTCTTTATATATTAAAACAGACAGATATTATATGCAGGTATTATGATATGTTTATCAATATGGACCCCTTTTCAGCCATTACAATGCATCTAAAAGCATTTCGGTAGAACAGCCTTCTATGGTACTGAAATTCTCTTTGATCAGTCTTCTTTGCAGTTAGATTATATATATATACACATACATATTCATTAGGTATACAATATATGTGTACACATACATTTATACAATATATATTTACAATTCTCAATTGAATAGAAGTGTTAGGATTGGTGGCAAAGTGCTCAAACATTAAACAAAGGGCAGGCTCTCCACAAATGATAGCTGCTGGTGTGAGACACTTCGTTGTGCATTTGTGACACCTTTGTCTAACCCAGATCTCCTGCAATCATCACCTACGGCCAAGGAGACACAAAAGCTCAAAAGTTCTTGGCAGAAATTCAGAGCAGCTTTCTGCACCATAGGAAGTTGACACATACCATAAGTACTAAAATTTATCAAGCAATAAAAATGCCTGGAATGGTTTGAAATGGATTCAACCCAAGGAAAGATGTCTCTCCATACTGACTGATTTATGTCTTGGAACTAAAAGTCTACTGAAGAAATGTGAGCAAAATGGAAGATTTACCCAGTCATTCTAAATTTTCTGGGAGAGTCAACTTCAACTTGTTGGGAAATGATTGGCTTTTATTGCAAATGTTTGTTTGGATATGGCATAGTAAGGCTTTTATCACATGTTTTCCCATATGAAAATGAAAAGTAGAAAAGGGAAGGATAAGAAGGAAAGCATGAGAAAAAGTAACAGAAAATCAGGACAAGAAAACCTAACCATTCATTGGATCTTTAGTTTTTGTATGCTACAAAAGCCAGGGACATTACGATCCCAAGACACATTGATACCATTTCTGTATTACTCAAATTCATTTTGATAATAAAAGATTAGTAAGTAGATGATATATAGGGAAAAAGAAGGCTATGAAGTTTTCAATAAGAAGAAAATTTCAAATAATAATAAGCTGTATTTAAAGAGTTGTTCTCTGATAAAATCAAAGAAATGCTTACAATGGAGCTGTTACAAGTTTCTATTCCAGGGGGATAAAATGTAAAAGGAGAGAGACTTTCATTGAACTCAGTGATCCTCAAATATTTGCCTCAGCAGCATTATCGGAGGTGTGTTCATGCATAGACTGCTGGCTCCAACTCTGTAGTTTTTGGAGCAGTAGGTCTGGGATGGAGCCAGATAGGCAATATTTCTTTCAAGTGCCCAGACATGCTGTTGCTGCAGGACTTAAGATCACACATTAAAACTCACTGAAGATCATCTAAGTTTCAAGGCCCTGTGCATCAAAATGGGTTTTAACAGAAAGATGGTCTCTGTCCTCAAGTAACTATGAGCTTTCATTAAAAATGCCTCGAGAGATACAAACATGGTATTATGAGAATTCCTAAGGAGAGGGACTAATGGGGACATTACTACTATTAAGAGGAGAAGAAAAACATCCGTGGAAGATTCCCAGAGGTCTTGTTGTTCACTCCAGACCACAAAGGATGAGGAGAATGTGAGTATTTGTGGAAGGAAGTGGGCATTCTTAATGAAAGGGACAGTATGAATAAAGATACGGAGGTGACTAATAGCAGCCTAATTTTCGGTTCAAATAACAGTCTACTGTGTTTATGAAGGAGAAGATGGTACAGAAAGGAACCACTTAGGATTCCCTAAATACATCCATACTGTCTTATCCTTCCTTGCCATTACTATGACTTTAGCCCTCTCTCCTTGGACTAATGATCAGTCTCTCAAGATTAGCTGCAAAACCAACCGCTAGTGACTCACACCCGTAATCCCAGCTACTTAGGAGGCTGAGAGCTGAGGATCTCCGTTCAAAGCCAGACCTGGCAGGAAAGTTTGTGAGACTCTTATCTCCACTTAATCACCAGAGGAAAAAAAAAAACTGGAAGTGGAACTGTGGCTCAAGTGGTAGCGGGCTTCCTTTGAGCTGAAGAGCTTAGGATCAATGCCCAGGCCCAGAGTTCAAACTCCATGACCGAAAATAAAAATTAGCTGCGAAGTCTTCACATACCAGTTTCTTTGATAAATGACTGCTATAGGCCTTGGCACACTGCCTAAACCCAACCTTGTCTTCTCATCACACTAGAAGCAACTCTTCTGGAAAATCTTCATAAAGTTATCCGAGCTACCCCAGCTCATCATCTGCAGTTACTTCCCAACCTTCCTCAGTCAGGCTTCCGTGCCCCCAAAGTCTGTGTCACCTGCTTTCCACCACACTAGTGAATACTTTTCTGTTAAATCCTGGGGACACCTGCAGTTCTTATCCAGCTTATCATCTTCACGATTAGCTATTCGTTCTGTGCAACTTTCTTTAATCCATTTCATAATAGTTTCAGGATTTTCTCTTTAAGTCCCTTGGTAAATTGCTTTCCTTTTGTCTCTAGATTTAAATTCTGGCATTCTAAGGCTCTTTTCTCTGCACACTCCCCATGGGTGATCTCACCTATTTGCTAAAGATGTTCAGATCTGTTGCAAGTTCACTCAGATCCCATGTCTCACTTCAACATTATGAGCCACTGAGCACTACTCCAATCATTCTCTACTCTTCTGTTTCTCCTCTTTTCTCTCTCATCTAATGACTACTCCATCATCATTCACTTTGCTTTCCAAGCAAACCTTGAGCTTTTTCCTTCATTCTGCCTTTTCCCTTCTGTACTACATCTGAGTGATCATATCTTTCTCCATAATTGCCTGGCTTTATTCAGATCTTAGGTATTATGCACCTGGAATGCAGCAACTGCCACCTAACTGTATCCTTC